TCTTAGATTTCTCGGTGGAGGCTCATGATATATGATTAATTTTTTTTTTATTAGAAAGAGCAAGTAAGGATGCAGGGCACCACAGAGTCGTTTTTTTTAAATTCTTACTTTTTTAGCGGAAAAGGGGGATCACAAGTTCAATGACTCAAAAAAAGCGCCAAAAATGGGTGTCTAGTTACATAAATGTCTGTATATATAAAGCTTAATTAACAAAAGGACTCTGTGGTGCCCAGCACCTGGACATGCTCTTTCAAACAAACAAAAATTTAAATATATTGAAAGAGCCTGGACCAAGAAATCTTGGACAAAAGATCAAAAAGTCATAAACCGAGAAAAAATGAAAAACATTTTTTGAACTGAAATTTTTCAAGATTTTTGTCCTTTTCGACGGTTTTTTGGTATATTTGAAGAGAATAATCACCAACTGTCATATATCTTTGTGAAGTCTATATATATGTTGTGGTCAAAATTAAAATTCAGTCAAATTTTAAATTTGACCAATCATCTGGGCAAATTTTAAATTTGCCTAGTCAAAAAATCAGTCAAATTATAAATTTGCCCAGAAAATTCAGTCAAATTTTAAATTTGACTGAATTTTAATTTTGACTACAACATATATATACATTTCTTTTTCGTGGCTTGCTGAGTTTCATTACATAAGTAGTTCTATCTTCTACGATATAATCACATTGGACTTGGTTGAAAACATTGTACTACGATCAATTGTATATTGCCTCGATCCTTTTTTTTTTATAAATTATATTCATAATAAACATTTCATGACGTTTAGATGACTAAAGCATTACTCATGGTTTGTCAAAATGGACATGATAGGAAGAAAGAGTAAGCGAATGAGCGAGCTGGAGAGAAAGAGGACGCACAAAAATAACGTCATCAATGGCAGATTGAGATAATCTATGTTGGTTATACTGAATCATATGGTTTTCCATATTTCTCTTTCTCTTTTTCTTCTCCGCTTTTTTTTTATCTCAGTTGAGGTCTAGCCGTACTCAAAACACATATAAAGATTCGTGTTCCGTTTGTTTTCGCTACGTATGTATAGTTTTGTTAATGTGTTTTTAACTCTTTCAATAGCGATATCTTTTTTTTTCGTTCTATGTCTTCTACGAGATGACATGCGGTAATGAAAGGGTTACAAGCAAGCTTAAAACCTTATTGCCATGGACAAGTGTTGTTTTTTAATATTTTATTTGTTATAGATTATTTACTTATCATAGTATTAAATTTTATATTTAAACGTGGTGATCTTATAAATAATGCCGACGAAGAAAAGATATGCAAAACGGTGAGTATCTCGAATCAAACTTCTATGTTCTATATGCCTAATTAATGGAATTATTCTATACCTAAAACTATTGATTGTCTTGGTTTATATAAAAAGGAAAATAAAAACTAATCTAAAATTTCTTATTCCTATAATAAACAAGATTTTTCTACTAGATATAGCAAACGTGTGTTGGTCAGATATGCTCGTCAAAATATACCACTACCGCCTGCATCATCATTACAATCGAATATAACATCAACATTACGAACAACAACGTCAAATCCATCAACATCTTCAAAACGTTCGTCTTTACCATCAAAACAGAAGATTACGAAAAGAATAAAATTGGATATAACATCAACATCAGCAAATTCAAATTCAAATGTGCCTATGGATGGATACACGATCTTGCAAAATCAAGTGTTATTTACTCTTATGTGCAAGACGAATTGTGAAGGTTGCGGAAATCGTTGGAATGGAACAATTAACATCAACAAACGCGAAGGTTTATTTGTGATTCTATCTTTTCAATGTTCATCATGTAAAAATACCATCACCATTGGTAAGTAACTACTTCCAACTATCGAAGCTTTGAATATTATTAATGCGTGCAACATTTCTTTCTAATTTTTTCAGAAACAAGTCCGAAGATTGTTGCATCAAATCGCCGAGACATCAACGTAAGATCACAAATAGGTGGCCATTTATGTGGTATCAGACATGCAGGATTAGTGAAATTGATGGGTGCTATGAATTTACCGAGTCCCATTCAAGATGAAAGATATTCCAAATGGGATAGAGATTTACTAATTATGGTAAAATCATTCATCGGAAGATCAATGAAGAAAGCAATAGAGGAAACTGTAGCTGCTGAAAATGGTACAGAATTAATGGTTAGTGGAGATGGATTCTGGCAGACTCGAGGTTTCCAAAGCAGACATGGTGCGGCTGCTCTTTTATCTTGTAACACAACACCAAAAGTACTGGATATAGAAACATGCAGTAAAACATGCAATACTTGCATGGGTGAGTTTATTTTTTCTTTTTCTTGATTGGATACTCTTTTTTTTAGGTGCACTTTCTATTAAAAAATCCAATCCAGCTAAATATGATAATATTATTAGATCGCATCGATGTGAAAAAAATTATGAAAAAAGTTCTGGTACAATGGAAT